TACACTATCTCTTAACCATAGATTGTCACCTAATAAAAGTGTAAATGTAAAAGTTTAAAAGTTTTTCAAAATAAATATTTTTAAAATTATGAGCATTTATTTTTGATGGTTCTCAACTTTTAAATATTTTTATTTACGATGTGACAACAATTGATTCACTTATAGTGTGTAGAATCTATATACTAACAGTGCATCAAATATAAACCCTTTTCCAAAGAGCATCCTGTGATTTTTTTTCTCAATTAGCATCCTGTTGATAAGTTCTTATATGGGTTTACTTAGTGAAATTAGAAAAATGCCCATAAGTGTGATCTAATAAGATAATTTTTGAATTGAGAATATTTTGGTATTATTATTGGGTGACTTGTATAGGTAACCCCCAATGAGAATGGGACTAATCACAGGGTGTTATGTAATATAAGTTAAAACCACATGGGATGTAGGTGGAGCTATCCTATTAAAACTTGAATTTGGTTCTAAGCTGCTTGAGCTTACGCTCTGCTAGTTCTCAACAGTTGATGATTCAAGCTTGAGCTCAGGTATTCACTGAGCTGTGCTCAAGCGGCTGACTAGCCTAACCTATTTTCACCCTTACTTCTGAACATACAGTCCATGGCTGAAACATTTTCTAAGTTTTAGGTATCTATAATTCTAAATTTCTTAATAGTTTTTATAAGCTGTAGACGCTGCCATGTACATCTCATATTATCCATCATTGAAGTATTTAAGCAAGCATGTTGGAAATTCCATCCTCTCTTGTTCAATGTAGTTCCCCTGTTTAATAGAACAACGTATTCCATGTTTACTAAAATTTCAGTTCGCTTAGTTCCGAAACAGTTTATGATCTTAGGTTCTATTATTTTTCTTCATTCTTATAATATTGTTTTAATGTTCTGCAAGTAATGGGGTATTATTCTAAGTAAAAGAATAATGGAATTCCATGTGGCATCTAAAATGTCTGATGAGAATTTCCATGATATTTGGCTCACCCTGAGCTCTTAATGTCATTTTTAGTCATGTGAGTGAATTATTTTACTTCTCAATTGTTTCTGCATCTATTTCTTTCTTGACGAGAGATTCTGAAAATCTCAGAGAAGACTAGGAAAATGATTCGGATTCTATATTACAGATTGCTTTTTCAAATCTTTTAGGCATTCTATATCATGTTACCCAAGTGCTCCAAGTGCATTGGTACATGCAAATATATTAATCTGCTTTATTCCTTTTTTTTGGTTGTCTTCTGCAGGAAGAAATTATGGAAGTTCTTCCTACTGATGACACGATGCAACGTGTTGAAAAGCATCTTCTTCGTCCCGAGGAGCTCATTAAGCTGTGTTTGAAAAGCAGAAGTAGAGTGCTAGCTTTGCAGGTTTTTGATGTATTTGCGTGGACTAGCTTATCGTTTAGCAAGAGCCATAGGAACCTTTTGGAAGAGTGCTGGAAGAATGCTGCTGATCAGGATCCTTGGAGCCAGCTCTATGAAGCGTCTGCAACCGAAGGGTGGAGTGACGAGGAAACCTTGCAACGACTAAGTCAAACTATACTTTTCCAGGCTTCAAATAGGTGTTATGGTCCGAAAGCAGAAACCATTGAAGAGGGATTTGATGAAGTGCTGCCATTGAGACAAGAAAACTTAGAAGCAGCTAGTCTGAACGAGACGCGTTCATCTGTAGAAGCAATATTGATGCAGCATAGGGATTTCCCGTATGCAGGCAAGCTAATGCTGACTGCTATCATGCTGGGTTGTGTACAGGATCATGTCAAAATAGAAGAGGGTCTTTCCCCATTGGTATGACACATTATTAGGCTAAGGAGGAAAGCGAAATTAATTAATCAGAATAATTTTCTTGAAATTCCAAAAAATTGGCTGTCACTTGTCATGTGCATGTTGCATTTCCTTTTGCCAAAATTCTCTTATGGGTTATAACATGTTAGTAATTATCTTTCTCCTTTTATAATCCGTTTATAATTTATAATATATATATAAGTATAAATGTCAAAAAATATTGAATCGATGAAATGAACATTTTTATTTATTATATTTTAAAATTATGATTTTAAAAATTTTTATTATCATAAATATTAAATAACAAAATTTATTCAATTTATAAATAAGAATTTTGATTCCATTCAATAATTTTCAATTAGATACTATCTATGTTAACAAAGTTCTAATATAATTTAATTATCTAATTAATCTATAATTCTACTCATTTTTAAAAGTTAGAATTCGAAGAGTTTTTAACTATTTCATGTTTTCACTATTATAAATAAATGCTTCATTGGAAATTTTGAAATATTCTATCTATTAGTAATTTTGATATTGGATTTCTTATCGCGCAAATGCAGGTTTTTTATAGCGATGATTGTTTTTCTCTCATCTTATTATCCAAGTGGATTGTTACTTTAAAATTTAAAATTATTATTCTGTGTTCTACAAATTTATAAATTTTTATTTAGTTAAAGATTCGTCTATCTTGCTTAAAGTTTATAATTTAATATATTTATTAATTAATTTTGGTTTTTTTTTGTTTTAAATATTTTGTAGAAAATGAAATTTATAATTTTTAATATAATTTTTTTATGTAATTAACGTGTCAAATCACATACCACACATGCGATACAACATCTAGTATTTATTAAAGTATGGATGCTTGTACTTTTAATTCGTGAAAGTGGATATTTTTATTTATTATATTTAAATTACCATTGTAGATAATTTTTATTAATTTTAAAAATTAATGAAATTTATCCAAAGTATAAATAAGAATTCTAATTCCCTTGAATCACTTTTACTTTAAATAATTTTTGTTGATTATAAATATTGATAAGATTTATTTCATTTCCCTTAGTAGACGAAGACAATTTCTTTCTATTTTACTCTTATGGTTCTCCTTCATTGTTTTGCTGATCTTGTATACGTTGTACTTCCTCTACAAGGATACCCTCCTAATAAAATTTAGCATGAGTGTTGAGCCAAGTATGCCTCTGCTATGGTTTTTTTTTTTTTAAACTCTTGCAACAATGCTTAAAGCATTGGTGGAATGTGGAAGAGGCCACTCTATTTGGGTGTATCCATGGTCAACGACATGTTTTACACTGTCTTAGTATCAATCACGTGAAATAATAGATTTGATTTCATATTATTAATTAAAAGTTGAGAGTTTGACTATTTCAAGAATCTTTTACTTTTTTAAATTATGATTTTTTTAATTAAAAAAAAAGAAATTTGAACCCTATTCTATAAACAGATATTATATATCAATTAATAAATCAAATATTCGAATATTTCAAACTCTTTCATTATCTTTAAAACTTCATAATGTATAAACGGGTATTATACATTAGGTTGAGAACCATACTTGTTATCGATGCTAAATTTGATTATTTAATTTCTTCCTCAAACTCAAATTTTTCATCAATATAAAACCTCATAATTATTGCTTTCTAAATGAAGCATTTTTCAACAAAGTGTCTAATCAATCGATGGTATAATACAATACTTAAGGTCATTCACTCAATCAGCTTCATCAGGCCACTTCATGCTAACCACACAACAAATACTATAAAAGTGATTAAGGAATTCATGCTCCTGTTGTTCCTAATTATTAATTGTCCCAAGCTCATAATGAAAGTACTATTAAAGGCATTGCTTTAGTAGATGTGGTCATGCGCAACTTTCAAACTTTCACTCATCTTTGGCTGATTGGTATCCCATCCCTTATAACATCAATGTTTACAAAGGAAACATCAATAACAGGAATTCTAATATGGTCAAAATATCTATCAAGACTTTGTATTTATATATTTTATTTAATTTAATTCCTATATTTAAAATCAAATCAATTTAATCTCTTGATTTTAAGAATTTTTTTAATTTAATCCTTCTCTCTAATAATATTTAATTTTGCTGTTAAACAGATTGACGTCAGTATTGACATCAGCACAAATATGACATATTTTAATGACTGACATATCATGTGCTACTAAGAGTCTGTTTGGCGCTGTTTTTTTTTTTGCTTAAAAGCTATCATGAAGTTATTATGAAAAATAATAACTTTTAAAATTAAGTTGAAGTTATTTGGTAAGTTCTTTTTTTATAAGTTATAATTTTAGTTAAAATTATTGTATAGGGTATTTTTTTTTAGAGAATTATATTGTAATTATTTTTAACAGATAAAGATATTTTTGAAATAAAAATAAATTTTTTTTATATTTTTAAAAAAAGAAAAGAAAAAGCTCTTATGAGAAGCTTTTAGTTGTTTTTTTTAAAAAAATTTATTCTTTAAAAAAATTACTTTTTTTTAAGAGCTTTTCAAAATTTATGTTTGGCCTAATTTTTACTTTTAAGAGATAGATAAGCTGAAAAAAAGTCAAGCCAAATGAGCACTAACATGATAGTGTGACAATGTCATGTGGTAATACTGACTTGATATTAACATGTTGACGTGTCAGTGTCACGTGACAGATAAAAAATCTGTTAAAATTTTTTTTTTATCTTGTCATAAAGATTAGATTGAATAAAAATATATACTACATAGATTAAATTAAATAAAATTAAAATGTTAAGAAACTAAATTAAAAAATATATTTAAAGAATATAAATCTTTTAAGTAATTTTCGTGTGAAAGAAAAATTATTTGATTATTTTGTAAAGTTTTTAACATTTCCGTTGAGATAAGTAACTCGCGCGTGGCTTAGGCTCTAAAGAAGAGCAAATGGCCCGGCCCAATTATGATATGCCGAAGTAGATGGATCAACAGCTTCCAGCGCAATACGATTTGGACAGTTGTGTGCATCTGTGGCTTTCTCATCACCACCTAAAACACCTCCAACAAGATCTTTCAAATCCCATCTGGCATTACCACAGCCTCTACCTCTCTCCAAAATATCAACATGCGAATCCACATCCCATGCAGCAACCAATAGGCTGCGGCTGACATGTACATTTCCTGATCCACAACATCTTCTCTCGTCCGATATAAGCCCTCCTCCCCTCCAAGCCCAAACAGACTGCACCATCCTTCAGCAAACAGAACCAAGTTAAGCTTAAAGCCTCAGCCCTCAGGCATCACCATGGCAACCTCCGCTATCCAACAATCAGCTTTCGCTGGCCAGACCGCTTTGAAGCAGTCCAATGAGCTCGTCCGCAAGGTCGGTGTCTTCGGTGGCGGTCGTGTTACCATGCGCAGAACTGTGAAAAGTGCTCCCTCCAGCATCTGGTAATTACATTTTTCTTGCTGCTTCCTAGTACTAGCTGGTAGTATCTTGTATCAACAATTTCCCGTCTAATTCAATATAGTTTATCTAAATCTTGTGGAACAATAATACTTTGGAAAAAAAAAAAACAGTTTGTACGGCAGTACAGCCTAGTCACAATCAGGCTCAAATTAAGCCAACTGAAATATATGTCAACTATTTGTTATAGTTGGAAGAGACAGACAAAACCTAAGCTGACCATTGGGAGCATTTTTCGTTTTGTTGCGTGGAAATCTAAACATCTAATGTCAAAAACGATTTTGTAGAGAAAAAACATGAGAGAGTGAACTATATTTCTGGTTTATGATCTGATTACTTGACGTATAATTTGACATGAAAAACAGGTATGGCCCTGACCGCCCAAAGTACCTGGGTCCATTCTCTGACCAAATCCCATCATACCTAACTGGAGAATTCCCTGGTGACTACGGGTGGGACACTGCTGGATTATCAGCTGACCCAGAGACATTTGCTAAGAACCGTGAGCTTGAGGTGATCCACTGCAGATGGGCTATGCTTGGTGCCCTTGGCTGCGTCTTCCCTGAAATTCTTTCAAGGAACGGTGTCAAGTTTGGAGAGGCAGTTTGGTTCAAGGCTGGATCTCAAATCTTCTCCGAGGGGGGCCTTGACTACCTTGGCAACCCTAACCTTATCCATGCTCAGAGCATTCTTGCAATCTGGGCTTGCCAAGTTGTGCTCATGGGATTTGTTGAAGGATACAGGATCGGTGGTGGACCACTTGGTGAAGGACTTGACCCAATTTACCCAGGCGGTGCTTTTGACCCACTTGGATTGGCTGATGATCCTGATGCCTTCGCAGAGTTGAAGGTTAAGGAGATCAAGAATGGCCGCCTGGCAATGTTCTCCATGTTTGGATTCTTCGTCCAGGCTATTGTCACCGGAAAGGGTCCCATTGAGAACCTTTACGACCACCTTGCCGATCCGGCCACCAACAATGCCTGGGCTTATGCCACTAACTTTGTCCCCGGAAAATGAACAACTTAGATATATCAATGGTATGTCTTTGAAAGCTGTAAAATTAATCTCTACGTGGCATGTGTTGAATATCTCGAGTGCAGATGTAATTGAACTACTTATCTTTGGGGCTATTGTATAATTAAAATTTCTGATCTTTTGTGCGTGAAATAGTATATCTTTGACTTTCTTAAGAGCAAGCAGCAAAACTTAACAGGTCTGAGCACTTAAGCATGGTTATCTGCGGCACGTTTAAATATTTGACTCAAATTTTAATCCAGAATCAGTTTGGATTCCCATAAAAATTCAATCGGTGGAGAATTATTTGGTGCTTAATTTATTTATAAAAGGGTAAGAGTTCTCAATGGGTAGGAACTTTTAGTAATCAAATAACAGGACTGATCTATAAATATAGAGTAGGTCTTTTAACCTTTCGAGTTATGAGAGAGAGGGAGATGCAATCTCTATTTTGGGAAAGTTTCACAGAGTTGTAACAGTGATAAAAGTCATGAGTTGGAATCAGAGGCAAGGTTAGAAATTATCAAAACAAGATGCAACCATGAAGCACGAACAGTGATCAAAGGTGATGGTCTGGGAGCTGTGTTGTTACAGATTGTGTTCATGGGATGGGAGACATGCAAGAGCAGTTTCATTACAACAAAAGTGTTAGTTGCACGTGAGATCATTCTTGATTGCTCTAGCGGTGCAATTTATTGAATTTCAGGATTTGAGTGAGAGTTAGTGTTGTTGAAGATCTAAAGACAGTAGGGGCAGATCTTGGATTAATAGAATAGAGATTTTTTTCTCACTGATATGGATGCTTTTCTTGTGATATTATACTCTTACTCCACTCAGTCTAACACGTTCCAAAAAATTGTTGAATGTAATATTGATTTGTTGAGGAAATGAAACATGGCAAGGTGGTCGTGGCGCTTTCGTCTGTGGGAAATTGATAAAAGAAAAGATGTTGATGATGCTAATTAATATGGTCGAGCAAGTGAGTGGTAATTCTGGTTGATTGAAGTTCTTACTTTGAAGTCACAAGGATGAAAGTTAACTTAACGGCTACACGATGGCATTTCATGTGAATTAGGTGGAGTCAAAGTCAAGATTGATTCTCTGTGCGAGAGAAGAGAATTGTAGAAAAGCGAGAAAGAGTGAGAAAAACACCAAGTTACATGAGATGGAGAGTACACCATGGATTAAACACTGGTATTTGTTTCGAAATTCGAGTTTAATGTTTGTTATGGAATTTTTATACTCTTAGCACCTCTAGTGAATTTTTCTTTCTCATCTATGGACGCAGGTAATGGGTGCCGAACTACAGTTAATATCGCCTCTTATGCGATTTATTTGTGTTGATCTTGATGTTCAATAGTTTTTACTTGAAAATCCCAACACAATTGTGGCATGTTTTCTTTCTGATAAGGCATATAGAACGAAGACATAAAATTTAAAATCCAGAGAATATAATTTCAACTTCAGAAATTTCATAACTCTTCTCCTTTTCTCTTCCTTGTCAAGGAACAAGCTATGTAAAATAATAAGAATAGACTGTACACACAGCATACCTAAACTCTTCATGAGTAGAATTTTTTTAATTGTAATGGTAGGCTGGTTTCTTTAGTTGATATAAATAATGCCTAAGAAAAAGATCCTAGCCATTTCTATAAACCCTCATAAGTGATGATGCACACGATAACTGAAGACCTCAAAGTTATCATCCCATTCAGTCCTGTTGAAAAAATCATTAATGTCAGCCAGCAGCTGAGGCAATCACCAAAAATCTTTGCAAGAACACAATCCATTTTTGAAATGATGAAAGCGGTTATTATCTCTTACAATAATCTCGCGACTGTAGATTTTAGAGAGCAGTTTAGTTACAGAATGGCAATCGTTACAAACACGAAGGTTCTTCATGATGCAAATGGGAGAACCAGCTTCAACGTTGATGAGACCGAAGGCAATGGCCAACCTCTCACTATGCTTTTCCAGTTCAGATTCCTTCTCTTCCTCCTCTTCAATGTACAACAACACTTGGCTTGTGTCAGGAATATGTCCCGCAAGTTTCAATTTCTCTGCCATCTCACTCAATTTGGAATAAAGTTCTTTTGTTTGGGGATGTGATTTATCTCCCACAACAAACTCATGAACCACACCTCTATGCTCGATTGAACTGCAGCCTGGGTCTTTTCTCAATCCCCTCTTTTTCATCATTTCTCTTACTTTAGAAACTTTGTCCCACTCTCCAGCTATAGCATACATATTAGAAAGAACAACATAACCCCCAACAGTCTCTGGAGCCAGTTCAATCAAATGATGAGCAGCATATTCTGCTATCTTTGTGTTTCCATGATTCCTGGCACCACTAAGCAATGTCATCCAAATTACTTTGTTTGCTCTCCTGGGCATCCCTTCAATGATATTTTTTGCTTCTTCAAGATACCCAGCTCGACATAAAATGTCCACCAAACAACCATAATGTTCTATAGTAGGTTTAATTCCATATTCATTTATCATTGTATTAAAATATCCACGACCATCATTGATCAACCCTGCATGACTACAAGCATTAAGCACACCTACAAAAGTTATGGCATTAGGCTTCACACCAATTCTGCACATTTCAAGAAATATTTCCAGCGCATGTTCAGCCATACCATGAATACTCAAGCCTACAATTATAGCAGTCCAATGCCCCAACTTCTTGTTGGATATGGTCCGAAAAACTGTTAGAGCACTATCAATACTCCCACACTTAGAATACATTTCGATTAACACTGTCCCAACAACCCCATCTAATTCAATTCCATTTTTAACAATATAAGAATGTATTGATCTTCCCTTACCAAGACTAGCCAATCCAGAGACAGCAGAAATAATACTAACTAACGTTGCATGACTAGGCCTAAATTCCTCCTTCAACATTCTCTTAAACACCTCCCAAGCTTCCACAAAGTGCAAATTTGATTCAAACCCTCCTATAATTGAATTCCATGTGATCAAATTCCTTTTGGGCATTCGGTTAAATAATTTACAAGCGGAATTAATATCTCCAGCCTTCATATACCCATTAATCATAGTATTCCACGAAACTAAATTCCTATTTGGCATTTTCTCGAATATCTCTCTAGCAGTCTCCACCTCCCCACATTTTGCCAACCCATCTATCAAAACCGTCCACGAAAAAAAATCCCTCTCAGGCATTTCCTCAAACACCTTCATCGCAATGCAAACTTCCCCACACCTCGCATACCCATCAAGCAAAGAATTCCATAAAACCAAATCTTTTTCACCCATTTCATCAAACACTTTGTGAGCACAGCCAATCTCGCCGCACTTTGAATACAAATTGACCAAACTACCCTGCGTAAATTTATCTAATCCGAAGCCAAGCTTCAAGACCAACCCATGGATTTGTTTCCCTTCATTTACAGCATTTAACTTAGCACATCCCTTTATCACGCAAGGAAACGTGAACTCATCGGGCGGAAAATGATGAAGCAGTTGGGCAAACAAGGAGATTGCTTCATAAGATTGTTGGTTTTCGACGTAGCATTTGATGATGATGTTCCAGAGAACCAACGTGGGCAGCTGGATTTGGTCGAAGACGGAGCGAGCGTAGCGGAGGTTGTTGATATCTGGGTCGGCATAGAGAGAAAGGAGGCGAGAAGAGATTGAAGGGTGAGAGAAAATGCCGGTTTTGAGGGAAAACGCGTGGAGCTGTTGGGTATCTTGGTGGGTTTTGGAGGATCGGAGAAGTGAAAAATGGAGGGCGTGAGGGAAGTGTTGGTGGAGAGTGTGGGAAGGTGTTAGCTGTTGCATTTTTGGATGATGAGAATTACTGAACTGTCAGAGGAATTTGTTATTCATGGTCGGTGAAAATTTGGAGGGAATTTTCGTTACTGGGCTGGTGGTTAAATCCAAAATTTTTCAATTTATTTTATTTTTATTTTGGAACGCAATTTTATTTTCAATAATAATAATAAATTACAAAAACCTAGCAGTTAGTTCCCGTGGTAGAAGACAGCATGAGGCAACATCTGCTGGCAGACCAAGAGGCTTTCCTATCCATATTTCAAAACAAAAATCTTGTGACTAATCCCGGGGGAAGTAGTAATTTTTCATAAAACACCATACATCAAATTATTACAATTCAAACCTTAAATTATAAACTTTGTAACACTTAGTATCTTAGGTTGTAATGGTACCACAACACTCCCTTCACAATTAATTTCTTCAATCCCTTGCTCTTCAACATCTTGTTTCTCCACTCCTATTGTAAGCTCATATTAGCATTACTTACTTCCGGGAACGACCCTAGATGTAGTATAATAGAATTACATGACATCATTTATTCACTCAACTGTCAAAAATTTGTACTTGCTATATTTTTTATATTAGAGTTTTTATGTGCTTAATTATACTAATGAATTTATTAATTTGTTTACAATTTTGTAAAGAATGGGTGTTAAAAACTCTAAATCAAATAGATTTATCAAAAATTAATTTAAATATTAATATCTTATTATTATTTTAATTATAACACTATTTAAAAAAATTTCTAAATCAATCTTTAATTACTTCCGACCTTTGCCGCCAACTACATTATTTGGTAGATGAGATCCAACATCCTCATTTTCACAACGCTTACCTTATTTCAATACTATTTTCTACTTGATGATCTTGTAATGAAGTTTCTTGTTCTATGCAACGTGTGACGAAGATTCTAAGAGTGATTGATAGATGGTAATATTAACACTAATATTTGACCTTATTTATATTTCATAATTTATTTAATAGATTTTGTTAAAATTACTGTACTCAATACACAATACAAATTTTTTAATTTGTATCAGGACCTATTTGGGATTTATATAATGTTTGACCTAATAGAGATTTGATCCTAAGCTTAGTGACCATTATAATGAAATAATTCTGCAAAGTTGACATCGATATGGATATGGGCATGACAACCTACATGTCAACTTCAATTTCTATCTATATTTTCATCACTTTGCTTTTAAGGTGACTATATCATATATACTTAAAAGTGGTTTTATTTAAACTGCCTAATGACTCGAGAGAGAGTTAAATATAATTTAAATTTTATTTGATTGATATTTTTATTATGTTTTTTAAAAAATAAAAAATATCGATTAAATGAATCTTTTTGTAATGATTATAAATAACATTGAAAATTTTATTCATTATGAATAATATTTATCATAAAAAAGATAAAAGAAAACATTAATTTTTTTTATATGAAAAGCCTCATTGATTTTTAATTATGTAGTAACTAATAATCATGTTTTAAAGAAAGTTTATCATTCTCCATTCCAATTTTGAGTTTTCTATTAATTAATTGAAAATGCCCGTAAGGACCAAAAAGACTAAAATATCCTTAACATCTCTAAAATGCCATTTACTCCATCATAAAACCCTTGGCCCATGATTTAATATATTTACTTAAAATTAATTTTTTATTTTATCTATTGTTTTAAGACATTTTGGTTCATTACAATGCTTTTTCTAGAAGTGATATCAAACACTTAAAAATCTCAAATCACACTTATTTCTTAATCACTTTGAATTTTGAAATGATCCCAACTCCATCTTATGGTTTGATCCAAACGGTAGCGGAGGGAATTGATATAAAAGGAAACAACTTTCTGAACTTTTTGTTTTTGGAAGGATGAACAACGTGCACAGTGTCAGCAGGGAAGGAGCAATGACTTATTTTTCCCTGAAAATTCCATTTTCTCAATTACGGAAACAAAAAATAGGCTAATAGAAAAATTGGCGGTCTGTTCTGATTCGCTGGGTTTTTTTAACAGTTGAAGCATTTCGTTCTCCACTCCAACAAGCAGTGGCTCAAGCTTCGGTCGACCCTAGCGTTACAGGGTCCATGACGCTAGCTTGAACTCTCCACTCTTCTACTTTTGGGTATTATGGTCCTTGGCTGACCACGTTTCCTTGCTCATCCAAGTCCAACCACACCCAGATCTCCCTCATCTCCCAAATTCCCCCACAACCAAAAAACCAGAAAAATCATTTTCCTTTCATCTCCGAAGTCTTCCTCAATGAACCCAAATCCCGACCCGCAATGTTAAATCCTCTCCTCAAAAACCCATGTCCCAAACTCTTTTCCCTCTCATTACTCCGCCACCCTTTCCTCGCCTTCGGCTCCCTACCAACCAACCAATCTTCATTAGTCTCCAAAATCTGCAATATATTATCCCATCGTCAATGGAAACAAAATTTAGAACTCCTTCACTTAACCTCCGACCTGAAACCCCACCACGTGTCCCAAATAATCACCATCCACAAAAACACTGACTCCGTTTTGGAATTCTTTTTCTGGGTCTCAAAGCGGCATTTTTACAAGCACGACATGGGTTGTTACATTTCGATGTTGAATAGGCTAGCTAAAGATCGAAAGTTTCCTCCGGCGGATCATGTTAGGATTCTGATGATCAAAGCTTGTAGAAATGAGGAAGAAGTTAAAAGGGTAATTGAGTTTTTAAATGGGTTTAATCAGAATTCTGGTTTTGGCTTTACTCTATATAGTTTCAATACACTTTTGATTCAATGTGGAAAATTTGAGATGGTTAGTTTAGCTCAAGCTGTTTATAGCCAAATGTTGAATACTGGGATTAAACCAAGTTTATTGACATGTAATACTATGATTAATATTTTTTGTAAGAAAGGGAAGGTTCATGAGGCTGAGTTGATTTTCAACAAGATATTTCAATACAATATGTGCCCTGATACATTTACTTATACGTCATTGATTTTAGGGTATTGTAGGAATCAGAATTTGGATTTGGCTTTTGAGGTTTTCTATAAAATGGTGAAGGAGGGCTGTGATCCGAATTCGGTCACGTATTCAAATTTGATCAATGGGTTGTGCAATGTAGGCAGGGTAGATGAGGCACTTGGTATGGTGGAAGAGATGGTTGAGAAAGGGATTAAACCGACTGTTTATACTTATACTGTTCCAATTAGTTCATTATGTGAGTTTGGTCGTGTGGATGAGGCGATTGAAATTGTGGGTAGTATGAGGAAGTGGGGGTGTTATCCTAATGTGCAGACGTATACCGCATTAATAAGTGGATTATTTTGGGTGCAGAAGCTTGAAATGGCAGTTGGATTCTACCACAAAATGGTAAAGAACGGTTTGGTTCCCAGCACGGTTACGTACAATGTACTAATAAATGAATTGTGTGCTGAAGGAAGATTCGCCATTGCTTTGGATATTTTTAATTGGATGCTGAGACACAGTACATTGCCGAATACCCAAACATACAATGAGATTATAAAAGCATTGTGCTTAATGGGTGATACTGAGAAGGCAATGGCTCTCTTCCACAAAATGCTCAGGATTGGTCCCTCTCCAACTTTGATAACCTATAACACACTTATAGGGGGATACCTTAGAAAAGGGAATCTAAACAATGCTATGAGATTGTTAGATATGATAAAGGAGAGTGAACATGGACCTGATGAATGGACTTATTCTGAACTTATTTCAGGGTTTTGCAAGTGGGGACAGTTGGATTCAGCAGTCAGTCTTTTCTGTGAAATGATGGAACATGGGCTAACTCCAAATCAGGTTAGTTACACTGCTATGATTGATGGTTACTGTAAGGAAGGGAAAATGGATGCTGCTGTGTCATTATTTGAGAGGATGGAGCAACATGGCTGCTGTCCTGAGATTGAAACTTATAATGCCATGATAAATGGTTTGTCTCAAAACAATCAGTTTTCTGAAGTGGAAAAATTAATCAGCAAGATGGTAGAGAAAGGATTGCGGCCAAATGTCATTACCTACACGTGTATGATCGATGGGATTTGTAAAAATGGTGGGACTGATCTTGCATTTAGGGTTTTCCTGGAAATGCAAGAGAGAAATTGCTCACCAAATGTTTACACATATAGCTCACTTATTTATGGCCTATGTCAAGAGGGGAAGGCTAATCATGCAGAAAATTTACTTGATGAAATGATAAGCAAAGAATTGGTACCTGATGAGGTAACATTTACCTCACTCATTGATGGTTTTGTTATGCTTGGTAGGCTAGATCATGCATTCTTGCTTCTGCGTCGGATGCTTGATGCAGGTTGTAAACCTAATTACCGAACTTTCGGTGTGTTGTCGAAAGGGTTGCAAAAGGAATTCAAGCTGCTAACAGAAAAGGTTGTTTCTCAAAACAGAGTGGTGTGTGGTGGTAGAATTGATGAGAGATTTGCAAATTTTGGGTTGATGCGTAACCTCCTATCTAGATTGTCTGGAAATGGTTGTGAACCTAATGTTGATATATACAGTGCATTAGTCACTGGCTTGTGTAGGGAAGGCAGATATTATGAGGCAAGTCAGTTAGTGGCACATATGAAAGAGAAAGGTCTTTGTCCGAATAAAGACATCTTGTTCTCTCTAATATTTGCACAATGTAGGAACTTAGAAGTGGATCATGCTCTAGAAACTTTTAACCTCACATTGATTAAAGGTTGGGAGCCTCCTTTATCAAATTATAGGGAAGTCATTTGTGCCCTTTGCAAGGCGGGTCGAGTGAAAGAAGTTCAGACTTTGTTTGAGAGCTTGATTGAGAAAGAATGGAGTTCTGATGAGATTGTTTGGACGGTGTTGATTGATGGTTTGCTGAAGGAAGGGGAATCAGATTTATGCATGAAGCTTCTTCACATCATGGAATCTAGACATTGTCCTCCTAATTTTCAGACATATGTAATTTTGGCCAGAGAATTCTCGAAATATGGATCGATAGAAGTAGATCAAATTGGTAACAAGTTGAGAATTGTGAGGAATACACAATGAGTTGAGCTTGCTTCTAAGAG